AACACTACTATTCTACACTTCCAGATCTAACTAGTTCTGTATTTAATTCAAAGAGAGATTCTCAATCTTTGACTGAGAGAGATTAAAAATAAAAACTTGTCGGTGGCTATTCAAGATTAAAGACTGTTACTTGATTTCCACTCAACTTTTTAGGTTCTGAATCGACATGCTTGTGTATGGTTTCTGACCCAATTAACACGGATCTGAATCTTCAAAAAGACTCTCTTTTTTTTATTGATAAAACTTTGAATTTGTGATGTTGTGTTTAGTGCCAGTGACAATATACCAAACTTATATCACACTTTGACTGTTAAAAAGTCGTTTTGTTTATGATTGTTCTGCTCTTCATTTATGCAGAGACTCACACAGAGAGAAAGCCTTTGTTTACATTGCTCTTAAGACTCTAAAGCTCTTTTGATTTGGGTTTTGGAGGAAGTTGTGGTTGGTTGGATGATGAGAGGGAGATCTGATAGAGGCCAAAAGAAGCGGCTAATCGCTTCGGTCTGTATCGTGGCTTTGTTTGTCTGTTTCTTGTATATGTACTATGGTTCCTCTAGCCAAGGTGCATCAGCATTGGAATATGGAAGATCATTGAGGAAACTCGGATCGTCTTATTTGGGTGGAGATGATGATAATGGTGATACCAAACAGGATGATTCTGTGACTAATGGTGAAGACAGTCTTGTTGCGGCCAAAAGTTTCCCTGTAAGTTGTTTTATCGAAATCTAAGAGTTTGGTAACTGCAAAAATTTATTATGTTAATGTAAGCTAACTTTTGGTATATGTTTAAGGTTTGCGATGACCGGCACTCGGAAATCATCCCTTGCTTAGATAGGAATTTCATCTACCAAATGAGGTTGAAGCTGGATCTATCCCTTATGGAGCATTATGAACGGCATTGTCCTCCTCCCGAAAGAAAGTTTAATTGTTTGATTCCTCCTCCATCTGGCTACAAGGTTCTAAATTTGCTTTCTTGTTGCTTTGATGTGATCGGTTTTCGGTGCCTTCTCTTGATTGTTTTGTTCTTTGTATTGATTTGGGTTTAGGTTCCTATTAAGTGGCCTAAGAGCAGAGATGAAGTGTGGCAAGCAAACATACCTCACACTCACCTTGCAAAAGAGAAGTCTGATCAGAATTGGATGGTTGTAAAAGGCGACAAAATTTCATTTCCCGGTGGTGGCACTCATTTCCATTATGGAGCTGATAAATACATCGCATCAATCGCAAATGTAAATCTTTTTTTGCTCGATTACTTGAAAACTTTTTTTCTAATGGTAAGTTGTTTCTAATGATATTTTGACTTGCAGATGCTTAACTTTTCAAATGATGTATTGAATGACGAAGGGAGATTAAGAACGGTTCTTGATGTTGGATGCGGAGTTGCGAGTTTCGGAGCTTACCTTCTCTCATCTGATATAATGGCTATGTCATTAGCACCTAACGACGTTCACCAGAACCAAATCCAATTTGCATTAGAGAGAGGAATCCCCGCTTATCTTGGTGTTTTAGGTACCAAGAGACTTCCTTACCCAAGCAGGTCATTCGAGCTAGCTCATTGCTCTCGGTGTAGGATCGACTGGCTTCAGAGAGATGGGATACTTCTTCTCGAGCTCGATCGGGTACTAAGACCAGGCGGTTATTTCGCTTATTCATCTCCTGAAGCGTACGCACAAGATGAAGAGGATTTGAAGATATGGAAAGAGATGAGTGCTCTTGTTGAAAGAATGTGTTGGAGAATTGCCGCTAAAAGAAACCAAACTGTGGTTTGGCAGAAACCGTTGAGTAATGACTGTTACTTGGAGAGAGAGCCCGGGACACAGCCTCCTCTTTGTCGCTCAGACGCAGATCCTGATGCGGTTTCGGGTGTGTCAATGGAAGCTTGCATCACTCCTTACTCCAAGCGTAAGTACTAAGCATACTCTACATTTGCTCTTCCTTTTCTTTCTTTCAGGTAGTACCGGATTATGTCACAGTCATGCTCTGTTTTTCTAAATACAGATGACCATAAAACTAAAGGAAGTGGATTAGCTCCTTGGCCAGCTAGACTGACTTCTCCTCCCCCCCGTCTTGCGGATTTCGGTTATTCAACTGATATGTTTGAGAAAGACACGGTACTAAAACCGCTATCTTTTCCCAACCTTCTTCCAAGGATTTATTGATAAAATAGTTAAAACACATTTGTTTTGTTTATCTTCTTTGTTGGCGCAGGAACTTTGGAGACAACAAGTGGACAGTTACTGGAACCTAATGTCATCAAAAATCAAATCAAACACTGTGAGAAACATAATGGACATGAAAGCTCGCATGGGTTCTTTCGCAGCTGCCCTTAAAGAGAAAGATGTCTGGGTTATGAACGTTGCCTCTCCCGATGGTCCCAACACTCTAAAACTTATCTACGACCGTGGTTTAATCGGGACAAATCACAACTGGTACAAACCCAAGAACCCGAAAATCGCAAACTTTCCCTCGATCATGAACGAGATATTTTACATTTTCTCCTATTTGTTTTCTGGTTGAATTTTAGGTGTGAGGCTTTCTCTACATACCCGCGAACATACGACCTCTTGCACGCATGGACCGTATTTTCGGACATTAGAAGCAAAGGATGCAGCACGGAGGATCTGTTAATTGAGATGGATCGCATTCTTAGACCTACAGGATTCATCATAATCAGAGATAAGGAAAGTGTTGTCGAATCGATCAAGAAGTATATGCAAGCTTTGCATTGGGAGGTTGTGGCATCGGAGAAGGTAACCATATCTTCAGAACTTGACCAAGACAACGAAGATGGTGAGAACAATGTCGTTTTCATTGTCCAGAAGAAACTCTGGCTCACAAGTGAAAGCCTTAGGGACACTGAGTAATCAAATAACAAAGCATGAGGACTAAAAAGAAAGAAATTGTTTTTATTTCCACAAGTTTTTATATAGTTTTGATTCTGAGTAATCAAATGAAAAAGCATGAGGATTAAAGAAAGAAAGAAATTGTTTTTTATTTCCACGACTTTTATATATAGTTTTTGATATTTGTAGTTGATTTGTACGACATAAACATAATTATCATATAAATACTAAAATTATTGAATTATTCATTGTTTTTTTGCTTTCTTGAAACATTCTTTAATGTTTCTTCTTCGATGTTTCTTATGATCTTATCCTTAAGTCTGATAACTCCTTAAAATATTTTTGTTTGGTTTGAATATTTCACTATGTTCTTTGCTGTTGGTGTTATATGTTTGACAGGTTATTATTGAAGAAAATGTAAAACAAATGATAAAACTAAAATAATAATTTCGTGGTTCTGTGGATATTATTTATAATGCAATGATAACTAGCATTGACAAATTCAATGTAGATATTGCTACATAATTAAAATAGTTCACCGAATGTAAATTCAAACATTGCCTTGTTCTC